ACAAAGTCAGAGCATGAGGATTAATAATTCATATAAATAATAATTAAAAAAAATTTATATAAAATTTAATCAAATATTTTTATTTAATAAAAAATTTTAATTATTATTTATATATTATGTTAAAATTTATTTTTATTTAATAAAAAAATTTAATTATTATTTATATATTATGTTAAAATTTATATTTAAAAAATTAAAAATTAAAACTACTAAAATTTAATAGGGGTATATTTTATTTTGGTATGTGTGTATGAGTTTTTTCTTTTTCTTTTAATTAAGAGTTAACTATTTGATGTTATAAAAATTTGAATTTATAATTTTGATAGATTAAAGAAATAAAAATGATAATTAGAATGTTATCTAGTATTATATTATAAACTTATCATTTGATATGATATTGACTTATTATATAATTTATATAATATATATTTATTCATTTAATAACATATTATATTTATTTAATAAAAAATTATAATATAAAATTATAATTATAAGATAAAAAAAAAATTCATCACTTTAATTTCAAATTAAGACCTTCTTTATGAGTTTGCGAGTATCGACTCGGTAAAGAGCTAAATTAAGCAGTGCAATGGCATTCTTCCAATCGTTGCAGTTATCTTGAAGTGCTTGAGAACAACCCAGATATTGATCGCAATGAAACGTTGGGGCAGTTTGTCAAGGCACGGGGTTACTCTGAATTGTTTCAGAGGGCATATCTGGTGAGATCACTGATTATATATGAACTTAAGTGAACTCTTCTTGTTTTGTCATTCATCACCTCACAAGAAATGATCATATTATGATTTCTATAGGTCCCCATATGTGGTTCAATATGGTCTTGCCCTTCAGAGGGAGTTATGGGGTTTTCAGCCTACTCAGCTCTCTCACTTTTCCGCGATCATCATCTGCTTCAGGTACATTGTTCTCAAATGAAGAGTTGAACCCATGTACATGCATGTGTTTGTGAGTATGCCTGTGAGAATGTCCGTTAACTGTGCAAAATTCTACTTCATTATCCCTCTTTAGCTGTTGACAGGCTAAAATTTGCCCAAAAGGGGATGCTGCTTTCAACTAGAGCTTTCTACGCCAAAGCAGTTTATAGATTTTGATGGGTAACTTGTTTGGTTGTTTTTATAGCTTTTTGGCTGTCCACAGTGGCTCACTGTCAAAGGGACTTCCCGTCATTATGTCAACAAGGTAATTTGCTTGGTTGCCCTCGCCCATCTCTCTCTCTTTTCTTTTGCCCCTTGAATTTAAGGGATGTACTTAAAGAGGTTTTGCATTAGCACTTCAAAATATTCCAATTATGTTGATTTGCTTTAGATGTAATATCAAAGCATGTCCTTTTCAATTGAATGATTGACTTTATCAGGTCAAGGAAGAGCTTTGGACCATGGGTTGTCAAATAAGAACTGGCTGTGAAGTTCTGGCTGTTTCCACTGCTGAAGAGGGTGAGTACAAAAGTTCATTAATTTACTCTTCTTTTCGTTTCAGCATGTTTTAGAATTATGTAACTAAGCTGGATAAAAATTGCAGCCCGTAGTTTTCTGGCTAAATGACAAAATGCAGAATTCTGGTTAACTATCCCTTAGAGGATATGTCGCTTGAGGCAAACGCTTAAGAGTACTACATAAGCATTAACAACTGAATGCCTGAAGTGAAACAGAATGAGCAGGCAACAGGCTATGGAAGTTCAATCATTCAGGCCAAAGGGAAAAAAAGAAGATAAAAACTAACATTATTATTGAAAATTCTTTCTTTTCTGAAAGTCAATCCCATCATTGTTGCTCAATTTCTCTTTGGGATGTTTTGCCTAAGTGGCTGACTGGATCCTATAAAATATGCATTTCTACATTAAGCTTTTACAAAAGATCAAGACCTCATCTTTGTTTCAGGTTGCACCTTGTTATGTGGAGATGGCTCCCGAGAAATGTTCACTGGATGCATTATGGCCATTCATGCTCCTGATGCTTTGAGATTACTAGGAAATGAAGCCACTTACAATGAATCAAGAATACTTGGTGCTTTCCAATATGTCTACAGGTACCTATTTTCTTTAATTCAACTCCTCAACAAGTGTGAACTCCATTTCAAAAACTACTGAATTACATATAATGGGACTAACCTTGTTGAAGTATTTTACAAGAAATTGTGTTTTCTGGTTCAATCCTGCATTGTTCCCATATACTTTGTATTCCTTTTGATTTTGAAAATTGTACAACTGAAAACAGTATGTTTGTTAACTCTTTATTGGCAGTGACATTTTTCTTCATCGTGACAAAACTTTAATGCCCAAAAACCCAACAGCATGGAGTGCATGGAATTTTCTTGAAAATACAGAGAAGAAAGTATGTTTAACATATTGGCTCAATGTGCTTCAGGTATGTGTCTCTTTTTCTTATACTGAATTTGAATCTATGTGTCTAAGGGATAGTTTGAGAATATCAAATATAATTCTGCAGTATAGTGTTTGTACTAATACCCTTAAAGTTCTAAAGTTGAGAGTACAACATGTAATTTTTTTGAAATTCAAAATTTGTTAAAACTATATCCAATTGTGTTATCATGGTACAATGATCAGTATGAGAGTTTAAGAGCTTCAGCAAGATAGATTTATTTTGTATTCTATCCTAGAACATTGAGGAAACTGAAAATTCTTAGGAACCTGCAGAATATTGGTGAGACAAGTCTCCCTTTTCTGGTAACTCTCAATCCTGATCAGACACCAAAACATATGTTACTTAAGTGGTCAACTGGCCATCCAGTCCCATCTGTTGCTGCAACAAAAGCTTCCCTCGAGCTTGATTTTATTCAAGGGAAGAGAGGAGTTTGGTTCTGTGGAGCATACCAAGGTTCGCAGATTTAATTTCAACTTTATGAATGGAGGGTGCCATTTTCTCTATCAATTTTTAAAGTTTCATTCCATGTTTGATTTTGTTGAGACATCTTTCTTGAGACTTATTTGGAATTAGGACAATTATTTCCTGCAAATTGACCTCTAGAAAAATTGGAAATTCATGCAAATAAACTTTATTTTGGAGCTGCTATTATTAGAAATGTGATATTTCTATTTTTCAATATGCCCTTGCTGCAAACTTACTGGAGTTTCCAGGTTTTAGCGTTAATTTGTTTTTAGTGTTGTTACGAATAATCTTTTACCATCCTAGGCTTCAAACATACCTTGTTGCTCCCTGACTCATTCTGAGTAATTTGTGTTATGCTCCTTCCAGGCTATGGCTTCCCTGAGGACGGACTCAAGGTACTAGTTACTTCTTTATAGACTTTCTTCTCATTCAAGTACAAGGGACAGTTCTACGTGCTGCATTAAACTGTTTGCATAATGGCCCTTGCTTTCACATCTAAATTGAATAGTTTCAAAACTTGAGGTTTATATTTTCCTTTTAAAACTCTTTATTAATTTGGTAGCATCAAATTCACAAGGGGCCTTTTTCCAGGCTGGCATGGTAGCTGCAAATAGTTTGCTGGGAAAGAGCTGTTCTGTTATCAATAATCCAAAACATATGGTACCATCTCTCCTGGAAATAGGAGCACGTCTTTTTGTCACAAACTTCCTCAGAAATTTTATATCAACAGGTTCTGTAATGTGAGTTCTTATAAATTGATAGCACATTCTTCATTTATGAGTCCACTGATTGCTATTTGCACTGAAACATAAACGTCCATGGGTTTCGCACTTTTGCTTCACTTGTGATTTCCTGTTCAACTATGTCAAACATTTTTCCTTGCCTATTGCATACATTAGCATAAAGCTTCAAGTTAACTTGGCTTCCTTTTACTCATCTATAATTAGTTCCTATTTTTCATGTTTGGTTTTAATTCATTGAAAATACTCTTGGTTTCACATGACTAGTTTATTTGAGGAAGGTGGCACAATTTTTACCTTTGAAGGAAACAACACAAAATGCTCTCTGAAAACTGTTATGAAAGTGCACAATCCCCAGTTTTACTGGAAGGTACATGCTCCTGATCTATGTTAACAGCCTTTAAGATCAATATAACATAGCAGAGCATGGAGGGATTGTTGAAATTCAAACAACATAACATATTAGCAAAATTTAGAGGAACGAAATTGTTATGCATTTGATATTAAACGTACTGACAAGCACCAAAATGTTTTGTTAGGTTATGACTCAGGCAGATCTAGGTCTTGCAGATGCATATATCAATGGAGATTTTTCTTTTGTCGACAACAATGAAGGTCTTCTAAATCTCATTATGGTAAGATTATTTATCAAAGCTTGTTACATAGTTAAACCTGTACTTATTTTCATGAAGTTTCCTCACTGAATGTAGATTCTCATTGCCAGCAGAGATTGGAATTCATCCATCTCCAAACTTAGTAAGAAAAGGTTTACAGTAAATCCTACACCACAAGAATTTGGGTATTATCTTATTCTTCTCATAAACTTAGTTTATTTAGTAGCTAATGCTTTGGATTTTAGGGGTTGGTGGACACCAATGTTTTTTGCAGCTGGTTTAACATCTGCAAATTTTTTCTTCAAGCATCTTTTAAGGCAAAACACTCTCACACAAGCTCGCAGGAACATTTCTCGTCACTATGACTTGGTATGAGATTATACCTTTAAATTCCTAATTCAATTGTCTGTATAAATTCAGAAACAAACCACCTAAAGATGCAAATGGATACTTTTTGTTCCTTTTATAATTTCCTTATTTTACTTTGAAGTCAGCCTCTTAATCTTAGATTTATAAGTACTGCTTATTGCTGGATTATTCCAAATAAAAGCTGATTTCTCTTCCAATTCTGTTCCTAGAATAATGAACTTTTTGCTCTATTCTTGGGTGAAACAATGGCATACTCCTGTGCTGTGTTTGAGGTGAGACTCGTTACTCATAATGACTATGATTATGTTTCATTAAAGAAAGAAACTTTTTTGGTTTTCTTGGGTTCAGTGTGTAATTTGGCGCAAACTTTCTTTTAATTGCTAAACTATTTCATTCATTTTATAGAAGGAAAATGAGGAACTAAAAGTTGCACAACAGAGGAAATTCTCTCTTCTGATTGAAAAGGTTGGTCCTTGGAAAGAAACAGTCGCAAACTAATTTGTGTGTCATGTTTTTCTTGCCATATTCAATCCTTAATCAAAATTTCCTTGTAATTAATCCAGGCAAGAATTAACAATGAGCACGAGATTCTTGATATTGGATGTGGTTGGGGAAGTTTTGCTATTGAGGTGGTGAAACAAACAGGATGCAGATACACTGGCATCAGTTTATCTCAGGAGCAACTAAAATATGCAGAAATGAAAGTACGGGAAGCTGGACTTCAGGTATCTACTAGACAAATTTACTGTTTCAGATAACGTTCAAAAAATAATAATAAAAATAAAGAGACAAATTTACTTGAGAAAACACAGCAGAGATTCTATTGAATTGGGAATATTTTGTTAAGTTTCCTGTGACTACCGCCAATTGCCCTACCAGGATCACATTCAATTTCAACTCTGTGACTACCGCCAATTGCCCAACACTCACAAATATGACAGAATTATATCATGGTAAGTTTTTTTTTCCTTTTTTTCTTTTTTGATCAGCTATGTCATGGTAAGTTGGTTCTTTGAGCACCTTCTTTACACCTGGCAACATCAGATGCCAAACACTTAACGAAAAAAATTCACACTTTCCATTTCCAGTGAGATGATAGAACATGTTGGCCATAAATACATGGAGGACTTTTTTGGTTGCTGTGACTCAGTATTAGCAGAAGACGGGCTTCTTGTTCTACAGGTAACAACAAATTGAGAACAAATATAATATTTTTACTTGTATAAGTTATGATATACCTTTGAGGTGCTGTGCTGATTTTCAGTATTTGGCCAGAATAATTTGTACCCTATATGTTTCAGGTTCTGTACATTGCTAACATAATTTGTTTACAGTTCATATCCATACCAGATGAACGCTATGAAGGGTACAGGCTAAGTTCAGATTTTATCAAGGAATACATTTTTCCTGGTGGGTGCCTGCCTTCCTTAAGTAGGATAACATCAGCTATGGCTGCTGCATCGAGACTCTGGTAAATAATCCCCATATAATTTTGATATCCTGTAGTTACTATAAGCCCAACAAATGATGGCATTAAACTTTATTTATGTCTCTTTATCTACAAAACTAAGAGAAGCTGTATTAATTGAACCAGTGTGGAGCATGTGGAGAACATAGGAATTCAATACTACCAAACTCTGAGAAATTGGAGACAAAATTTCTTGGGGAAGAAGAGGTATTTCTTTTCTCTTATTCCCTTCTCCATAATTTCCTTCTTGCATTACGAGTCCTACTGTTGTATCACTCAGTCCACTTCTTTAAAACATTAAACCTCAAAAGGATTGGCTTTGCTTCATTGTCAAGAGGTTCTTATGATATGCATTGATAAAGTCGAACATCTATATACTTAGTTAAGATGATTATGGTAATCCTTTCAGAAG